CTCTCTATTGCCGTCGCACCCTCCCCCTCCCCGGACCATGATAACAACCCTTTCCCTCCTCCTCCACACACCGCTGCCCGAACTCTGACTCGGGCTGACAGTGTCTTCCCCTTCTACCTCGTCCTCAGTGACTTTCTCTCACCCTCGGCGTTGCACCCTCCCCCTCGCCGGACCCCACAGCACCCCTTTCCCTTCTTCTTCCCCGCAGTCATCTCCCCCTCCTCCACACACTACCGCCTGAACCCCGATTGCCTCGTCCTTTGATTTCCCCTTCGGTGCAACCCCCCGACCTTCCCCGACAGCCCCCTCCCTCTTCCTCCTCCCTTCTCCTCAGATAGCACCTTGCTTCCATCCCAATTGATAGCAACCTCCCTCCCCATAACCCAATAGCCCCCTCCGCATCCTCCTCCTATGTTATTTTATTTTTTTAATATAGTCTATGCATTTTTGTAAACAATTGAATTTGTCATTGGCTCATTGCTATTCCTAGTGTTTTGGATTGCTACTACAGTTTTAGAATCTTGAATCATGGCTATAGGAGGTAGTACTTCATGAATCATCAATAAGAAACTCAAAGAAAGATCCTATCTGGAAGTACAATCTTGTTCTGGTGGTCATTGATAATGTTGTTTTGTTTTGTCATTTTTATTATTGGAATTGGACAATGTAATTTGGTACTTCAAATAAGTACAATTTGATGTGCCATTTTTATTTTAGTGATCATCTTTATTAATCATGGTATATATTTTTTATATTTTAATATTTGAGAGCAGCTCGTTTTGATACTTTGGTGCCTAGCGCCTTTGACTACATTGATTGCAATATCAGTATATGCCTTGTTCAATACAGTCAAACAAATAATAAAATATGAAAAATCAGTCCAGCCGGTAAATATCAGCTGGTATCTATCTATGTGCTGATCGGACCAATATTTGATTCAGCATGGTCAACAACAACAATAACAAAGCTGTAAGTTCTCAATTATTTGGAATCAGCAACTATTTGGAATTGGTTACATTGATCTTTTATTGCCATTGACGTCAGTAAAAAGTCATATGCTTAGTTAAGAGTATTTAAATCTTTATTTATAGTTTCTAGTAGTTTTTAAGGTCTTCTTTTACCTCTCCTCATACCACTAATGAAAATCATTTCATCTCTTTTAGCTATCATATCTATAGGTTTCTTAAGCATATGTCCAGTCCATCTTAAACACTCATCTCATCCTTTATCGAAGTAATACCTAATTATTCACGAATAAAAATATCTATTTTCATATTTTTCGTAATAACTCCATACATCCATCTTAATATTTTCATTTCAACAACACAGACTTTTTGTATATATGTTATTTTTGAACTATCTAACACTTATATCTATAAAGTATTGCAGACCTAACAACCGTCTTGAAGTATATTAATAGGAGCATTTTGGTGCTTGAAGTAGTCACTTGTGTGAGAGTCCAATTAAAAGAAAAAAGAACTGAGGCTTTGTAGCCAGTAGTCTTCTATGTAATTTAATGTTTTTGTATCCAATAGTCTTTATTAAGCACATGGTGACCTTGTCCTTAGGTTGCTTGTGTTGTAATAGTGAATATATGTAATTTAATGTTTTTTAGCATCAAATTGTTTAATTTCATTATGACCTTCTGAAATTTCATTTATGCAGTGATATTTTGCTATTCTTGAACCGATAGTCTATGTCGGCAACAGCAAGGCCGTTACAGGAAACGCAAAATACTGTTCCTACTTCAGTTCCAAATTCTGAAAGTATGGATTCATCCATTGGAGGATCAGCTAGTGGTACACCCACATCAGCTGCTGCTGTAATAGCTTCACCAGTTCAGGGGGCGGCTACATTTTCTTCAACCTCAGATTCTGTTCCGTCTAATGTTGTGGTTTCAGCAACTCTTACTGGAAGCTCGCTATTGTCAATAGGTGGTCTTGTAAAAGCACATGACACTTCTCAAGATTCCATTAGGGCAAAATTTTCTTCACCACCTGGCTTTGTTGTTGCTGCACCTTCTTTTTCTTATGGTGTAATCCCTAGAACGAATTTGACATCGGGGAATCCTCAACAGTCATCATCTTCTGTTAGTTTCTATATTGAAACTTTCTAAGTTATCAGTTGAAATACTTCTTTAAAAACTCTTATTACTCTTGCTTATATTCTGAAAAAAAATATATTTCAGGGTTTAAAGTTGACCCCACCAGTGCCTGCTGCTGCTCTACAACCCCCAGTTCCAGGCCAGTTTCTAGGCACCAGGCCTTTTCCGTACAATGTAGTCTCGCATGCTAATGTTGTTCCAGCAGCTGGTCAGCAGATTCAACTTAACACTGTAATTCTCATGAGCTTTTCTCTAGTTGTAAATTGCATTTCTGATATCTTATTCACTATCCTAATTCCTTGCGATTGGGTGTTACTTGATCTTCATTTCTTCAATTTTCACTAGGTTCCCGTTCAAGCACACTTGCAAGGTGGAAAGTTTATTCCTCCAAGTGCTTCATCTTTGCAACCTCCAGTTCCAAGGCAACCTGTCCGCCCTACTCCATTTGGTCCTGGAGCTGTTTCTTTAATTTCTCCGTCACCTATGCAGTTTCCATTATCTGTTCCTCAAGGAGATGCCATAAAACAAACAAATTTCTCTTTCAGTGGGCATAACCAATTTTCAACAGCAGAAAAAGATGAGACAATTCTGTCTTCTGAAAAGGTTAGTTATGAGCTAGTCTATGTTTAACTGTTTAAGAAAATATTTTAACAGAAAATACATTATATTTGGACTATGGCAGTGTACATCAGATGCTGTGGCAGTGGAAACTACCAGTGACTCCTCAACTTTGGTTAATTCTCAATCTGTACAAACATCTCAGAGTATGCCATTGGGTACCTCCACAGGCCTTGGTATAAATGCTAATGCATGTGCTGCAAGCATGTTGATTCCAGCTGCACCATCTTTTACTGCACATGCTGAGATGCCAAATGCTCGTGGAATTCCAGGACTAACTGGAAATTCTAGTTCTGCAACAGCATCAACTGGTGCTACTATAAAACCAACACCCACAAATTCTTCCATTTCATCTCCAAGGCCCATAATTCCAGTTACTGCTGCTCTGCCTCCGACATCAACTTCTGTCCCTGTACCATTTCCAGTCCCGCAAAATGTTCAACAGCAAACAAATGTACATTATTCTTCTCAACCTACAATGGCCCCATCCCCACAGGCCTCTTGGTCGCATCCACCTCAAGCTGGTCCAATGCAGCATGTCTCCTTTTCACCATATCCTGGTTTTTTTCCTGCTCCTTTTTCTTTGCCTGTGCAGGGAATACCTCCTGCTGTTCCTTTGCCCTTTATTCAGCCTCCAGGTGTCTCTCTAATGGTTTCTCAAGTGGAACCAACAGCAGTGACTGCAGGATCTCTCCAGCCTGGAAGCAGTATGGTTGCAGAATCATCTTCTTCAGTTGTTGGTATGGTTATCCCTTTTGATCAGTTAAAACAATTCCTTTGAGTTGATGTTCTTTGAACGTATAAATTAATTGTTGTTCAGATCAGGACAAAAAATCTAACAATCTTGACAAGGATGAAGGAGATACTAGTAATGAATTAGAAAATGCATGGACAGCACACAAGACAGAGACTGGTGCAGTATACTACTACAATTCTATTACAGGCAAATCGACATATCAAAAACCTTCCAATTTTAAAGGAGAGGTAGCCATAGATCAAGCAACATTATTTTATTTTTTTATAAGAAATAATTTGTTTGGTGATTTAAATTAAATGTTCTTCTCTTCCATTATACAGTCAGAGAAAGCTACAACCCAGTCAAATGCTGTTTCATGGTATGCACCATTTCAACTAGCCAAGTTTTTGACTAGTTTTTGTTATGTAGATTTAAAAAAACTGTTGATGCCTTGAACTTACATTAATGGAGATGGGCCATGCATTACTACTATGGTATATGTATTCTTTGATTTTATCTTTGTCAATACAAATTTGTGGGAAGTGCTTTTGTTGTTTGTCTTTCTTTCTTGATATGTTATTTATTCAAAAATAATTTACCTAAAATCTGCAGATAAAATGAAATATATATTTCTTTTAAAAAAGATGAAAATATTTTTTATAAATAAATTATATCTTCTCAATTTTAGCCATAAAAATAATTTACTTTAGAGATAGAAACAGGAATCATGCTTGCTAATCTAGGATTCACAGTTTTCCTTGAGTTTTACCTCTTTCAGATAGACCTTTTTTTCTGTATGAATTTTAGTTGATTTGTAATTTGTAATAAAGTTATCATGGAACAGAAACTGATGGGAAGATAAAAGCCTGTTGATATTATGGTTAAGAGCTGATGGTTCATACTTTGATTTGACCATCCAATAGTAGCTATTGTAAAATTAAAATTGCAAAGTAGGAACCTACTAGATTGGGCATGTTTGAAGCTATATGCACATCATTTTGTTTTAGATAATAGTGTTATGTGACAATTTTTAAGTGAAGGATGAGCTGATACAGTTTGGGATTACCCAACATCAGCTTCCTCAAGAAATCTAGGTATTATCATTACTACTAAGAATTCTGTTTGCATGTTTTACTCAGGGAGAAGTTGGCTGGCACAGATTGGACGATAGTAACCACAAGTGATGGAAGAAAGTACTATTATGATACCAAGAACAAGGTAATGTTTCTTTTTGAGTCTTGAGGGATCATTCTATTATCTCAAATTATATATGTTCTAGAAAGTTCATTGTTCTTATGACATGGTGTTTCTATATGTATATACCCCTTCAATCTTGGTATTTGCATCAATCGCTCCAATATATCCTCCGAAACATATCATACTGCATACATGCTCTTCCTCAAAGCTCACACAAATACATGTACTTTGATAGTCAATAAATTATTGGTATTTATGTTTGTGACTCTTTAAACATATCTGTGTAGTTCTTTGTTGATTACTGGGCGATGCTTTGATTAACTAAGAATTCTTGTGGGTTAAACATAAAGATTTAATTTTAGGAAACTCTGCTATTTTGGTTGGAACGTCTTACATAGACAAGAATAATCGAATGCATCAAGGTGATTTTATTGGGATGGTTTACCAATGTATATATTTGGCTGATCTTTGGGGGATTGAGCTTTTAGTGATTGAACCAAGACCAATTTAAACAAAATTTAAGGAATAAGGTTTGGATGTCAAGTTTCTGCACAATACAATTCAAGAAAGGAAGACTTCTTGAACAATTAACTTTTAGAAATTTGTTAGCATCTAGTGTTTTATTATTTAAATTAACTTATGAGTAGTCAATACTTCTAGACAAATGTTAACTACTTGTAAGTTGGAAGGTATGTATCTAACAAATTTCTAGAAGTTAACTGTTAAAGTGGTCTTCCTTTCTTGAATTGTATTGAGCAGAAACAAGTATATCCTCATAGTTCTAAAAGATAGTGACTACCATCCTTTTTGCCAGTAATATAAAGAGGAAACACCTATAGTCAATAAGCTGTTTGACTAATACATTTGTCTTGACAATGTATAAGAAGTTATCAGACAGGGATTAATCTCTCAATTCGGTGGTACCAGTACTGGTTATTGGTCAGATCAGAACGGTAACGGAACCATACCATACCATGTGTTGGTATGGTCTAGTACCAATTGGTGCCAGCGGATACTGGTTCCATACTAAATAAATACCACAAATCCTTGTTTTTAAAGTTCTTTGGCCTCAATATGAATAAAAATATGTTTTAATAGCTATTATAAACCATATACCAAGAAGAATGTCATACTGTTATTGTCGATCAGCTGATATGATGATGGTTGAACTGTTATTGTCCAAAATATGGGGTTTATCATGTCAATCAGGCTCACAGTCAATTTCTTGTCAATGTGGCTCTTACTAATTTGCTAAGAAATTATTATTATTGTTCTCTTCCTTGGTTTATGATGAAGAACCTGGTTCGGTGGGTAGAGAAAGGCATGTGCGTGGAGTCTGCAATATTAAAATGCTAGGGTGACATTGGTTTGTGTTGTTCCTTCTGTAATAATTTGAAATGGTGAGGGTGGAATACTACTACTGCAGCAACAACATATTTATAAAGCTAGGCTTGATCACTTTAAAAGTAGCTTACCCAGATCCAACTTATCATCATATGATATTATGCCTGGTCAGTGTTTGCATGTAGAAAGACATTTGAAAAGGAGAGAGGGTGGAATATTGTTATAACAACTTTAGATGTGCCCAATCACTTTAAAATCTGCTCACTTATTGATCAGTGTACACCATTGTGCCTGGTCACCAAGGTTCTGAATATCGTACCGAACTGATGTACCGATTAGCTGTCAGTATAGTATGTATTGAATTGTTCCGAGCGTACCGACACATGATACACTTAGGTGTACTGATATACTGTCCGTACTGATCCTTTATTGGATTGGTACAGACCGCTCGTACCAAGCGATACGGTACGGTATTGCAAACCATGCTGGTCACTTGAAAAGATAGGCAGGTTTATGTGTGGAGAGACATCTCAAAGAAAGAGAAGGATGGTGGAGTTCTGTTAGGGTAGCATCAACTATAAATACTAGGTTGATCACTTTAAATCAACTCACTTAGGTCACATTGGTCACTGTACGACACATTGCTTGATCACTTTAAAAATTGGGCCTGCCTATGTGCGGACTGACATCTAAAATGGAGAGGAGAGAGAGATGTATTGCTACTACAGTACCAGCAGCCTTAGAAGCTTTGTGTGATCACTTAAAGGCAGTTCACTCAGGTCTAACTGATCTACCAAATACTGTGACTTTTCACTTAAAAAGCTGGGGCTATCTATGTGTGGAAAGACATCTGAAATGGAAAGAGAGTGAGGGTAGAGTTCTGCTAATATAGCAGGAATTTTAAAAGCTATGCCTAATTTCTCCAGCAGCTTGATAGCTGCTATTGTAACACCCAAGTCTAACTTGTCATTGTATGATCACTGTATGATATCATATTGGTCTTGGTAAAGACATTCAATACAATAAATACACTTGCCACACCAGATCATACACATAGTATGAAACTGGATTGGTTGAAATTGCAGGATCCACACACGAGTTGGCCATGGAGTCCATACCAATTGGTTCAGTCGAAATTTAAGTCCTTGCTATTTCCTTTGAGATATTACATGACTAATTCCTTGGGGGAAGGATATGTCAGAAGATGGACACCTTTAAAGAAATTTCAAACGTTTCAACAAGTTCTCTCATTTTGTTGTTAGTGTGGTAGCTTGGGCCTCATCTTTTTATTGGAACTTTTAGCTTAGTTAATGTTAATAACGCTATTGCCTAAAATGTTTTTTCATTTATGTGCATGTCTGGCTTATTTAAACAACTTAAAAAGTTGGAAGTTTCATCTCGGGACCTTTTAACTATGGGTTGTTTGTTTTGTAAAGTTAAGATTGTGTCAGAACTTAAATATTTAATAGTTAAGATCTTTGCATTCATGTGGAACTCATGTTTGTGGGACCTAGTTCCAACGAAGTTTTTTACAGCATAAGATCGAAGTTAACTTCAGATTGGCTTAATTATGTTGGATTTGAGTTCCAACAAAACCATGTGAATAAATTGCTCAGTCATGTGAAAACTTGAACCTCTTTGGTTCTTAACCTCAGTCATGCTTCTAAGCAGCTGATTTAATGGGTTTTAGCCTCTTTGATTAAGCTACATTTCAATACCTAAGCAGGTGCTGTGGTGTCTTGAGTTTTGAAGAACTGATTCTGGTGAGATTTTAATGTGTGAACTGTGATTTGTGGCTGGTAGATCATTGCAAAGATAATAAGATGGAAGGATCAATATGTAATTACTGGCTTTAGGAGCTAGAGGAGAGTGGCCTAGAGTGATTTAAATGATCTGTCCCTGTTAAAGTGGAAGCAGCTAGTAGGTGGGATTTGTTTGTTGGTATATCATCTGCATCTGCTGCCATAGATACGTTATATAGAACTCTTATGTTTCAAATTGTTTGGTATATTCTTAGTCATTGTGCTATGACAATGAATCAGCAGTTACATATTTTAATTCTATTTATCCACTACCACTGTATCTTTATTCTTCGTCAAATTATGCCTTCTGCAAAACTTCAGGTCAGTAGCTGGCATGTCCCGGCAGAGGTTGCAGAACTCAGAAAAAATCAAGAAAGTGGTTCAACTGAAGGAAGTGCAACCCAACTTCAAGATGCTAGCACACAAGGAGATAAAGTTTCTGCTCCTGCTAATATTGCAGCTCCAGCTGCACAGATAGGTGCTCATGATTCTATGGCTCTTCGAAGTTCTGGGGCACCTGTTTCGTCGTCTGCATTGGATATGGTTAAAAAGAAGCTGCAGGAAGCAGGTACTCCAATGACATCACCTCACTCAACTTCTGTGCCCGCTACTTCAGATGCAAACGGCTTAAAAGCCACTGAGGCTGTAGCCAAGGGAGTTATTAACAAAGACAAAGCAAAAGATGCTAACGGTGAAGGAAATATGTCAGATTCGTCATCTGATTCAGATGATGAGGAAAGTGGGCCTAGTAAAGAGGAGTGCATTATCCAGTTTAAGGTAATCATATCATTAGTGAATTATGAATTTCTTAAAAGTATATTTTATTGAACATAATCTTAATTGGTGTACATATTGTTGGATATTGTCACTCGAAATAATAATTTATCTTGAAAGCATGATTTTTGTATATTTCATCATTGCATCTGAATTTTGTATTTGGTGTCTTTTTACCCTTGGATTGCTCAAGAGATTGCAATTTCTCTTTTACAAATGATAAGAGTTGGGTGCTTTGCAATTCATTCGATCACTTATTCACATTTTCTTATTCTATAGGAGATGCTTAAAGAACGAGGAGTGGCTCCATTTTCGAAATGGGATAAAGAATTGCCAAAGATAGTGTTTGATCCACGCTTTAAGGTTTGTTGAGTCTAAAGATTATGAATTTTGGGCCTTTCCTACAACAAGAACTCCATGTCTCAGGTTTGTTAGACTCGTATATTGTGCTTGCTTATGAAGGGTGGCTTTATTTCTTCTGTCACTGTCAATTCTGGATTCAAGCCAAAGACAATGCCTCTATGTTAGTTGTATAATTTTCTAATGTTTTTATGTATATTGTACATGTAGTCTTGTTTTCGTATGTGTAGAATTTTGTGAGTAAGATATGATGAGACTTGAATTTGTTATTTGAGTCAAGATGATGGGAGGAGTAAGTTCAAGATAGTTAGATGATATACCTTTATTTTTAGTTGCCTTTTTTTGCAATGTATCTAATTGTTCTCTTTGTCTCTCTCTTGCTACCCCTCACTAACTCTCTCCCTCCCTCTCTCTCTCTCTCTCTCTCTTCTCTCTCTCTCTCTCTCTCTCTCT